ACCAATCAGGTAAATCTAATTTAATAAATCACGTAATGATCAATGGGATATTACCAAATAAGGCTAAACTATTACTTAATTTGGGGGTCGTCTAAAGCCGTGTTCGATCACGTGATTTGTAAAAATTTATTTTTTACAAATAAAACTTTTTTGCCAATACATAAAACTTTCAAGTTACACATAGTATATGTATTTTAGCCTGCTGTGCAAGTTTACTTAGTGCGCAACATGGGGTTTTGAACACCGTTTTTGACTTATTTGAATTTTTTCATTTTCGTCATCCATTTTTGGATATGATCGGCAAAGATTATTCATTTATACGTAAAGTCAAAAACAGTGTTTAAAACCAGCTTTTTTTCACTAAGTAAACTTGTAAAGCAGGTCAAAATACACTTATTCTATAACTTTCATACTTAAATTAATCTTAGTTCATAAAAAAATGGCTTATTCATAAAATGGCAAGTCACATGATCGAACACGGCTTTAGACGACCCCTTAATTTGGTAAAGATCAGCCTAAAATAAATTTTTGGACTTGTTGATGAGTATAGATGCGCTACACCATATTAGTCCATTGATATAAAAGTTATTTTGTTATAGATAAGTGACAAAGTCTTTAGTAATAAAGCTTTTATCATAAACTCTTTTTATACTTAAAAATATAACTTAATATTTTTGAAGCCATATGTTAATTTTTATAATATTACTACTTAAAATAGTTTCCTCTTTATATGTTCAATCTTTTAGTTTTTGTTTTAGTATACTTTCAGTCTAACTTTTACCATTGCCTCCATGTCAAGGATTTTTGCTTAGACTTAAAAAATAAAAAATTACTAATACTAAAGAGAAAAAGTATTTTAAACAAGAAGATATATGAAAAATAAAAAAAAAAGCTTAATTGCCGATCCGCCTAAAAATGGCACTGCGTTACTAATAAAATTCGGGGATAATAGCAATAATAAAAAAAAGAATTTTTTGCATCTCGCGCGCGAAATAAGTTTCACCCATTTTACAAACAGAAATATCATAAAAACAATATTTTCTTTAATTTTATGACAAGTCATATTTGCCAAAAAATTTTATAATTATATTTCTGTAACTGGTTTTCTTCAACTTTCACTTGTTTTTAATAATAAAAATATTTTAAAAAAGCTTTTAAAAACAACTTTAAAAGCTAAAAATTATAGGTTTTTATTGTAAATCT